ACTTTGCATTTATTTAGCACTTAGCAGACTTTATTTAGTACAACAGTATCGTCACCCCATTGTACAGAGTGGGGAAAGAGCAGCTCTAAAAAGGTAACTGATTCACTCAAAGTCATCCAGCAAATCAGTGTCAAAACCAGGATTAAACCCTGTATCTCTTGGCTATCGATTAGCCATTCACCTGGGAGCCAAGTCACTTGCCTTGATTCCTACTTCTCTTGGCATTTAATTTCATCTTACTTTTTGCACCAGTAAAATGGGATTTCCAAAGTGAATGAAGGTAAACTGAATTAAGGTCACTTTGATTCTGAATAAAAATGTCCCACTCATGGATTTAATACAGTTTAACTAATCCATTTTAAAAGTTAATTTCCATTAATTTTCCCGAGTGTCCCTATGTAGGCAATCCCTTAATTAAATGTTAAACCTCCTGGCATGAAATGCATTATTTACATAATCAATTGCCCAACAGGGCTAAAATTTTCAAAGATGCCTAAGTAACTTGAACACCCAATTCCCATTCACTTTAGTGGGAAAGTCATCTTTAAATCTCTTACGTAGCTTTGAAAATCTCAGCCTGGAGAAACGAAATTTCAGCCTCTGCACCACTAATGGTGCCATAAACGGTAAACCCAGTTCAACTGGCCTGCTGAGTATTCCTCCTGCATCAACTCTACACTAGGAGCACCTTACTGGAATAGGAATAGTGGTATACCATACTGGACACAGCTGTTTTTACAGGAATAGCTATCCCACCACCGTGCGAATGAAACAAGCTATACCAACCGGCAAAAGTGCAGCATTCCCAGTATGGCTGGGTCTACATTACGGGCTTCTGCTGGCACTGCTGAGTCAGTCGAAAGTCACACATCTTCATAGCTCTGACCAACACAGGTATAGCGGCAGATGTGTGTAGTGTAGACCTGGCCTATATTCAGTGCGAGCGGGTGGGCACTCATCCCCGTTCCATGCCAATTTATTCAGGTGTCTAAATATGGAGTGAGAAGCCTAATTTAGTCTCCAGTTTTTGAAAAGCCCAAGATATTTCGAGTGACACATGTCCATTGGCTGGAAAGGGTGTGCATGAGAGACTGAAAGCCCCAAGACAAGCAGTGTAATGGAGGGTTAAGACATGGAGTAAAGTGTTCTCATAGCTTGGAGAGGAACACTGCTGCCCTGATCTCGCAGAGCTGTGTGGGTGGAGTTTGCGAAGTGGTGCTACACCTGATTTATAAGTATGCAGATGGCCTTAGCTCCCTTCCATCCCCATTCAAGAGTACATACAGGCTTGCACATCCCTAGCTTAGCTGTGCAATAGCCCCCCGTCCTTTGTCCACACATTTTTCTCCCAATGAGGAAAGAACCCCCTCCAGAAAGCTTGATTGTTCTTGAGTGCTCAGAAGCCAGGACAAGATTCTTAAATGTGGATTTGTGGAATTTTTATATGGCCACTGGGCGCAAGGCCCATCCCTCATGCACTGAACACAAGTCCATTTGACCGCAGCATCGTCATTTTTATTTCTGCTCCTAAAAACAAACAAATGAATAATAACAAAATGTTGCTGATATGACAACATGAGTCAGCTCTCGGGCCCGCCCAAAATCCCTTTGTGTTCAATGAATCATGACTACAGCAGAGTGTAATCGTGGATTTAAACACTCACACAAAAAGCAAGCCAGGCAGGAGAGAAACACTCCTTTTTTTTTGTTTGAAAGAGCACTAATTAATCCAACCCTCGATGTACTGATAGAATAGTAGATGGGAGCTACACGGAAACAATGAGTCTCAAAAGACTCAGGGCCTATCTGCACAACAACATTTACCATGGCAGGAGACGGAGATAGAACATTCTTTGGTCTTGCCTGTGTGTGAACAAGAACAAATCACATTATAGCCATGTTACGATACTGAGTGACATTTCTCCCAGATGAGGAAACAAACACAGGACGTAGATTTAAAACACTTTGGCCCTGTCCCCTACACAGCAAGGTGAGACTAACGCAGGGGTCGGCAACGTTCGGCACGCAGCTCGGTGCGAGAAGCGGCGCAGGCGAGCGATGTGCTGGCCGCGGCTTCTCGCTGCCCCCATTGGCCTGGGACAGCGAACCGCGGCCAGTGGGGGCCGCGATCGGCCAAACCTGCCGCGTCAGCAGGTAAATAAAACTGGCCCGGCCCGCCAGGGTGCTTACCCTGGCAAGCCACGTGCCAAATGTTGCCGATCCCTGGACTAACGTGTGTTTTAATACAGCCCGGGCACTAGCAGGTTACAACATAGTGCTCTGTTGTGGTAAATGGACCCTCTAAATACTCAGAGCAGACTCCTGTTGCATACATGTCACAGAAGGCTAAGGGAGGAGCTGAGTCATGGGATAGGAGTTCAGATCCTGAGTCCTCCAGTCAGGCAGGAGAATGTGAGGGCAATGGAAGCAGCTAACAGGGAAAGTCACTCAAAGGTGACTTTGAGGCATTAAGACATGACAGCCCAAAGGGAGCCTCATGCAAGGATAATCGCTGATGCAGGGCTGTTAGCATAGAGGAGGCATGTAAGAAACCAGGAGCCCCTAAAAAGAAAAGCCAGAAGAGGGGCAAGCTACAGGTGCACACATAAACTCTGATAATCAAACTCCATGACTATTATTTTGTGTGTGTGTATAACATGTTGCTCCTCCAATATTGTTGCTCTTATGCAGCCACTCCACTTGCTCCATTATCAGACACTATTGCTAGAAAAGCAATAACAAACAAAATCTGTCATAGGACTTTGTCAGCTCAAATCAAGCTTGTAAAGATTAAGAAAACTCTCTGAGAAAATAATTTCTATACTTTTGCTCCTGTGCATTTGGGTCTCTAGAAAGTACACCAGGTCACACTGTGTACATTTTGCAAAGAGATTAATAGTTTGGTCCAAAGGCAAGGAGAAGACAAAGATATAAGAGGCATGCCGAGCTCCAGCTACACTTAATTCAAACAGTGATGAAGGCTGGGTCAAGATCTATGCATAATCCTAATGGCTTTCTGCTCAAGGCTTGCATGTCCTCATGAAGCATAGGAAAGTCACGTTGCCTTAATAACCATGTGCACTATTTTGCTTCTAGTTATATCAGATTGCTACCTGTCACGTGAGCGTGAGGCAGAAGGCAACGTGCTGATTGGTGTCACATTGCGTTACAGTTCAAAGAAACGCAGCAATTACCTGGGAACAATGGGCATTTGCAGTAACTGCCGTCTATGGGTGGGAGCATTGGCATAGATTCTGCAATGGGTGTGAAGGCTGACTGGGTGAAATAATGCTCGGCTAGCTGGGACAAGAATAGTTCAAAGCCTTATTTGGTAGTCTCGTGTTTGGAAGTGTCAGAATAATGTGAGTTTTCTCATCTGAGTTACTTGGCTGCTTAAACCGACTGGAAGCAACAGGCTTGGGATTCATCCCTGATTAGAAAAACAGGAGACATGCAGTGATGAGAAATCAGGGACTGGAGATATTTTATTTTACCTGCCCTCAGTGGAATATCACAAGCACAGAGAAAACCAGGAGCTAGTGGAGCAAGTTTGACTGCCAGAGTTTAAATCTGCTGATTTACCAAAATATTAGCCCCTTCTCCCTCCCTTTGCTTGCTTTGACATATGCTATGAGTGACTCGCTGCACTACATAGAATTTCACTCAGTGGTATAAAAACAAGGCAGAAATCTTTACCAACATATGGGGCCAAATTCTTCTCTGTAACACAGGTGTAAATCTGCACTTATGTAGCACTTGTTAATTTCAAAGTGCTTTGCAATCAATAGACTTTAATCCCCAAACCCCACAGTAAGAAAGGCATCATTATTTCCATTTTACAGATGGAAAAACGGAAGCACAAAGAAATGAAGTGAAGTGTCTTGTCCAAGATCCCAACTGAAATTAGTGGCAGTACCATAGTGACTTGGGGAGAGTATGGAATTCTAATTCATACCATATTCCATGGAGCTTAATTAAAAACTCAATACAGCCCCCAACACAGAATGAGCTTCACATCCCTGAGCTAAATCCTTGGAAAAAATGGGTTAGGATAATCATGGAAGTGATAACACACTGTAAATGCTATTTGCAGCAAGCAGGAAAATAACTATTATTTCAATTTAGGTCAATACTTGTATTTCTCTCTGTTGGGTGAATGGAACCTTATTGCATAAACAGGATTTACATCACAATGCCCTGCTTTGAAGCACCGATCAAAGAAAAGGTGATTATTTCTAATGCACTAAGCTGGAAACTTCACTCACAATCACGGGAAACAAGAAATTAAAGCACCAATTTCAAAAAGTGCTGCCTGTGAACCTGACTCCAAGTTGCTGCCCATCCAGCAGTGATAATATTAAGGGACTGTCAAAGAATTCATACAAAGGAGAGCTAATCTTTGTGAGTCAACCCCACAATAGTAATAGGAGATCACATTATTACAGATGCTTTAACCTTTAAGGCCTTACCTACACACAGGAGTTGCATTGGTTTAACTGAAACTGGTTTTAAAACAGATTAATAGTTTGGTTAAACAGGTACAAACCACTGTGTGGACACACTTATACTAACTTAAAACTGGTTATATTGGTAAAGCTTTTGCCTGTAAATTTAGGCCCAGTCTACATACAAAGGGGATTTAAAACTGTTTAACAAGCAGCTTGCTGGGGGAATCCTTGGCTGGCATAAAGCCAGCACAGCCAGATGTACATCACCCGCTCCCCCCTCAGCATAGGCATTGTGTCAGGGGTGGGAGAAGGCTTCAATAGAACTCTACCAGATTACACTGGCTAAGGATCTGGCCCTGAATACAGAAGGAGCACAACCCTCAAACTTAGCTAGCTAACCTGAAACATGGAATGTGTCAAAGCACAAGGACAATGGAGTAACAAAGTTTTTGTCCAGCTCTTTGGTAGTGGCTGACATCCAATTAATAAACCAGGTGAAGAGTATCAGTGTGGGTGAAGGAAAGAATTCCTAAGACAATAGGAGCTACGTACCTGCACTTTTTACAGCTACAGTTCATGAAAATGAAGCTGGGGAATTGATTCTAATGGGGACAGTTCAAGTAGTTGGGGTTCTCACATGGGAAATCCTTTAGGAATTAATGCTAATTATAGATTTGGAATGCCTGGTTTCAGGCAAGGTTTATCTCTGAGTAGATTAACTGTGGAAAGTCCATAGCTCTGATGCAGTTCTCCAAAAGACAGGGGAGCTGGTGGTTGATTAACTGCATCTGTCTGAATTATAACAGCAAAGCAGCCAGGCTGGGAGTGGCTGCTCTGAAATCAGAGTCACAGTCCATGCAGGCACGCTCTGGCACACAGCTTGCTTTGTAAGCCTTTTGGCTCTTCCTGCAGCAATTGCTTGGACAGAAATGAATTCATTTGAACCGCATTTGTGAATGTTCCCCTCCCTTCTCAGGCTCTCTCTCTCTTTAATCTCATACCTCTCTGAGTTGCTTACAGTCCACAACTCCTGCATGCAAGACAGCCAGTAGCACAAAACTTTCCTCCCATTTCAAGGTCCTTCAGGGCCACACCAATTCAATTAATTATCATAGAAATAAATATCCACAGCAGCCGGAGTAAAGCTCTACAGCAATGTTGAAAGAGGGATTTAGGATTATTCCACAGGGGATTTGTGAATTGGCAGAGGAAGAGGCACAACTTCTGGGTAAAAGTAATGACAACAGAGCACTGAGTGGATTCGTGTATAACCTAGAACCGTTTCCATTTCCACCCTCGTGGCCCGATTTTCAAGCATGCTCAGCTCCCATTTAGGCATCAAAGTGGCCAGACTTTCAGAGGGACACAACATCTTGGGTACTGAGCTCTTTGGAAAATCTGACCACAAGTGTCACAATAGGAGGCAACTGGGTACTGAGAGCTTGAAAATCTGGCTCTTCTGACCATCTGGAAGAAGGTGCAGAAGTCAAGTGCAGCCCAGGTTGGCAGTGACTTATTCCTGTTACCATCAGAGAGCTGTTCAGTGCACTCAGTCCAGACCCCAGTGTCTATGTCTCAACTAGCCCTCTTGTTGGTAGGTTCAGCGGAGAGGCTATGGCTCAGATAGGCCTTGAAGATTACATTACTAGATTACACCTTGGGAGGGGGTCCCTTTAAAGGGGTTTCTTTAAACACAGGGTCATTTGCAGAAGTGGCTGCTCCCACTCTAAACCTGCTCTGTGGATAGAGAGATAAGCACAGCCTCCATCAGGAGAAAGGTTGATGGAAGAGGGTTGCTGAGGGAGTTCTTTGTGACTGTGGGTCTTTTTCCGATCCCTTGTCCATGCATCCATCTGGGCTGAGTTTCTCTGGGTCACATTCACTGACTCGCTGGACTCCTTCTGAGAACAGTGGCTACTGACTAGCGTTCTCAACAAGCAAAACTGTCATGTGACAATTTAATTATGCAAAACAAAGTCTCCTTAACAAGCAACTTATGGTCAGCTTTTGATTCTAATTACTTTTCTAAATTCAGCAATAAAAATCTCTTTTTCTGCAGCTCCACCAACCACACACCTTAAACCCATTTTAAGATTTCTATACAGCAAAGCAGGAATTGCTCCAGTTGTCATCATACCAGTTTTGCAAAGGGTACAGCACAGGGACTGCCGGGTTTCACAAAATATCTGTAGTGCCAAGGTGCGAACAGTGGTTTGGCTGTCAGTAACGTACATGGCTAGGTATCATTTCGCTTTGATGCTTGCTGCAACACATCCAGATATCCATTATGTTGTTCCAGGAGCATGAGACATGTACACTACTGCACATATATATGGCTTTAAAGGAAGCACATTATTTCAGATATTCAGTCTTTACATGGCCCTTGAGAGCAGCAGTTTAGTGGGTGATTGAAATATAGCTGGTCAGAAAATTCCACTGAAAACAAAATGTTAGTAGAAAACAGAAATAAAATATTCACTAAATCTCCCTCCCCCTTCATTTTTCAGACAGCTGTAGGTTGAATACCCTTTCCTTTTAATCTCTCTAATGGGCATGTGTATGGCATCTAATGTACATATTCCAGGTTTCTGAGACTGACGAATACTCCACATTTCTCAGGAGAAAGCAGTTTACCTGTCCATTGGTCAATGAGCACAGGAATAGATGTGGGTTCTACTCTAGACGCTGGTACAGACTTGCTCTGTGACCATGGTCAAGTCATAACTTCTCTTTGCCTTAGTTTGCCCATTCGAAAAATCAATATAATGATATTACTTACCTACCTCACGCAAAGTTGCTGTGAGAGTTAGGGTTTATCTACACAGGGACATCCAGGAAAATTAATCCAAATTAACTAAAGGTGTGAATTTGAAGTGGATTAGTTAAAATGCACTAAACTGCTTTGTGACCACCCTCATTTCGAATTAAAGCGGCCTTAATTTGTTCTAGTTTAATTCATTTCCAAAGTGAATAAACTAAACTGAATTAAGGCCATTTAAATTCTGAATGAGGGTGTTCATGTAGCAGCTTAACTAATCCACTTCAAATTCACACGTTTCGTTAATTCAGATTAACTTTCCTGCATGTCACTGCGTAGATAAGCCCTTCTTCATTTATGCAGTTTGAGACTCTCAGATGGAAGGATCCATTGCAATGTCAAGTATTAACATTACACTGAGCCATTGCTGCAGCAATAACTGTTAGCAGAGAGCAGGATCAACTCCACAGCTATTTCGGCATATGTCTCTACTGCAATCACAAGATATAAATGCAACTTGCTTGGACATACCCGAGCTAGCTTTAATCTAACAAGCAGTAAAGCGGTAGCAGCATGTGCTTCAGCACAGACTGTACAAGCCTGCCAAAATCCCTGGGGAATTATTTGCAGGGCTACTCCATGCTGAAGTGCAAGCTCCTGAGGCTTCACTGCTCCAGTACCCAAGCTAGCTAGATTAAACCTAGCGCAGGTGTCTACTCAACAGGGCCGGCTCCAGGCACCAGCTTACCAAGCAGGTGCTTGGGGCGGCCACTCCAGAGAGGGGCGGCAGGTCCAGCTGTTCGGCGGCAATTCGGCGGACGGTCCCTCACTCCTGCTCGGAGCGAAGGACCTTCCACCGAATTGCCGCCACAGATCGCGATTGCGATCGCGGCTTTTTGTTTGTTTGTTTGTTTGTTTGTTTGGCTGCTTGGGGCACCCAAAACCCTGGAGCCGGCCCTGCTACTCAAATTGCATTTCCATCCTGCGGCTGCAGTACAGACATTCCCAAAACACAATGTATCATGTTTGCCCTAATAGTGACGGATCTGCATTGGACAAAATGACCAAAGCCTGAGTTTATCACACCTAAGATTCTAGATCAGTCGAATCACATGTGGCAGTTTGGGTGACTTGAACACTTGCAGTGTGTTGCTCAGCAGCACACAGGGTTAAGCCTTCTGCCCTCTGAAAGAAAACTGGATTCAAAATGTATTTGTTTAAACAAGTTAACTGAAATGTCAGAGGCTACTTCGCCTCCTGCATATGAGGACATACTTTTCCCTCCTCTATCAGCAGGCTGCTGCAAACAATTACACATCAGAAGACAGAGTTTACCAATGCTGAGTCACAATGGGAATATTTGTACAGCAAAACACATGACTGAAGAGAGAAGACTGACGTCCATATTTTCCCCCCTCTCCTCCCACCCCATCTCTCCCCCAATAGTAAGAGGTAAAGTAGAATAAGCCTTGCACAATTCTGGCTTGAAAAGCATTCAGGAAGGTATGCAGACATCCCTACGTACAGTCTGAACCCTTCTGTTTGTTCCCAGAACTCAAACATGACTACTGATAGGAAATCAGATGTCTGGATAAATCCTACTCTAGTTCAATGGCTTCTTGTTATGTCAGTGCCAGATATGAGTGTGACATTGCACGCCATACGTTTTATGGAAATATGCTTATGAGCGTAAATATGATGTAACTGGAATATGCTTTATGCAAAAGGTCTCTTGTAAGGTATCATTACAAAGCTTATAACCATAGAATCATAGAATATCAGGGTTGGAAGGGACCGCAGCAGGTCATCTAGACCAACCCCGTGCTCAAATCAGGACCAATCCCCATTCTAAATCATCCCAGCCAGGGCTTTGTCAAGCCTGACATTAAAAACCTCTAAGGAAGGAAATTCCACCACCACCTCCCTTAGTAACCCATTGCAGTGCGTCACCACCCTCCTAGTGAAAAAGTTTTTCCTACGGTAATATACAACCTGTGACAAAGTGGGAATGTTCTTGATGTGTTATTTGAATGCTGAGTGGGGAGTATTAACCTGGGAAGGTTGCAGGGGAGTTTTGCTGGGACTGCCTGCATTGGGGAAGGGAGGATACCTGAGCATGTAACAAGAGAACCCAGGAGGGGGGTTGGAGGCCAGGTAACACCTCTGCCCAGGAAACTGGACAAAGGACACAAAGGCTGGGGAAGGATCCAGGAAAAGGCCAGAAAGGAGGGGGCTGAAGGGAGTTTCAGTTTGGAGCTGGCTGGGAAATAAAGAGGGGCACCCCAACCAACAGGGCTGTGGTCTCCCTGGGGCTCCCAGATGGACTTAACTAAAGGGGGTCCTGTTGTCTGCATTGGCAAGACCTGTTTTGGACTGTGTTCCTATCATCTAAAGAAACCTTCTGTTTTACTGGCTGGCTGAGAGTCATGGTGAATCACAGGAAGCCGGGGGTGCAGAGCTTGTCTTCCCCACACTCCGTGACACAACCTCCACCACTGCAACTTGAGACCATTACTCCTTGTTCTGTCATCTGGTAACACTGAGAACAGTCTAGATCCATCCTCTTTGGAACCCCCTTTCAGGTAGTTGAAAGCAGCTATCAAATCCCACCTCATTCTTCTCTTCCGTAGACTAGATAATCCCAGTTTCCTCAGCCTCTCCTCATATGTCATGTGCTGCAGCCCCCTAATCATTTTTGTTGCCCTCCGCTGGACTCTTTCCAATTTTTCCACATCCTTCTTGTAGCGTGGGGCCCAAAACTGGACACAATACTCCAGATGAGACCTCACCAATGCTGAATAGAGGGGTATGATCACATCCCTCGATCTGCTGGCAACTTATACAGCCCAAAATGCCATTAGCCTTCTTGGCAACAAGGACACACTGTTGACTCATATCCAGCTTCTCGTCCACTGTAACCCCTAGGTCCTTTTCTGCAGAACTGCTGCCTAGCCACTCGGTCCCTAGACTGTAGCAGTGCATGGGATTCTTTTATCCTAAGTGCAGGACTCTG